ATATAATATATGTTATATAATAAATATAATATATATATATATATATATATATATATTAATATTAGGGATGTCTAACTGACTCGTCGTTCGTGAACAGCTCGTGTTCGACTCGTTCGTTAAGAAACGAACACGAACAGTGACTTCACGAACAATATCAAACACGAGCTTATTTCAAACAAACTAAATTTTAAACAAACCAAACACGAACACAAGTTCTATTCGTTCTTGTTCGGTTCGTTTACACCCCTAATTAGATCCATTCAAGTTATTACATTCTTCCCACCTTAAGAGAACTTCGTCCCCGAAATTCAATTTAGTCACATAAATCTTATGCACAAGCCTATGTTCTTAAATACACACCGCATTGGAACACCAATTCTCCGGTCCAAACATAAATTCAGGCCCATCTATTTTCTTACAAAAATATTATTAAATTTTAATAATATATTATTATTTTTTATAAATTTTAATTTATAACTTCATTTAAAAATAACATTTATAAAAAATTTCTCTACATTCAATATAAAATTAATGCAGTATCAAATAGTAGAATTTGTCTCCCAATATTCTCATTGTTAGTTGATAAGCCTCCAACTAATCTTCATTGTCTGATTCAATTTTTGAGGTATGACACATATGTTGAAGTAATCTTTCAAACAATAAATGTTCAAACTTTTAAAAAAAGTTACAGGAAGTTATGATTTCAATAAACTTATACTCAAACTCACTGGCTTAACGAGACGGACCAAAATGTACCAACATTGATCCAATCTGAACCAATCGAGCATGTTAGAAAATTCATATTTCAACTTTATACACAAATTTCAAAAGAAAAGTACATAATAGCCAATATCTTTTAAATTCATGATTTTTACATATGTAAAATAAAGTGACGCATATTTGTATTCATGATGAACAAATTTGATCTTGAAGAGATGAAGTTTCTCTCTCTAATCCCTTAAAACTTTCTGTACTTTCTGATAGAGAGAAATGTACGAGGTGTGTTAGGTGGAGAGAGGACTCATTCTCAAATTCATGCTCTATTTAACCACCATCCATCAAGGGGGTTACTAGCCAATAGGATTTATGATAATTTAATAAATTAATTGATTTTTATTAATAAAATCAATCACATAAGTTAGTAACATTTATTTATTTTAGGGGTTATATGAGTTACAAAAAATAAATATCATAAGTTATGACATACGTTATGAGTTAAGAAAATAAATAACTTAAGTTATCAAAATAAATATCATAAGTTGTCATAATCTATGACATAAATGATGAGTTATGAAAATTAATAACTTAAGTTATCAAAAATAAATCTCATAAGTTATTAAAATAAAAGTGAGTCATAAAAATATAACAGAGCATTGATCAAGCCATTAAACTGCTTTTTAAAGTTTTTTGGACATATTTGGAAATTCAAGTAGATGTCAAATTGAACGAGCTTATAGTCTAATCGTGCATCTCGATAAGACAAATCTAGCGAGCCAAACAACATTCAATTTTGACATCATTAAGACAGTCAAATGTCTATCAAACATTATATGATCAAAAGAAGTTTTTCGAACTGTCCAATTAGAGTGATTCAAATTTCATCATTAATTGTAGCCGGGGAGAGAGAGTTTGGGCTTGAGGAAGAGCTTGAAGCTTTGAAAAGGAGCTGAAGTCCAGCATCACCCCTACTGTCGTTGATCATCGTGGACTGTTGTCAACCACCGCCGACCACTGTCGATTATCATATGTCGGTCACCGCCGATAACTATCGGTTACAGCCCGTTCCTTGCAACATGTTCATCTGCACGTCGACACTGTAACTTGGGACATCTTGTAATATTTTTTTGTTTGTGGGACAAGTGATCA